ACGCAGTCCCCCACTACCAGAAATTATGCAGTCGAGATTCCCACATTTGGGGAATTCGCAGGGGTCAATACAGCCGGAGTGCAATGGCTATACCTCGCCCTGGGTGAACCACCTTCTTGATCATGGTATCTCCCCTGCCAGGTAAGTATGAGTTGTACACGACTCGAGGAGCCGACTSATTCAGCCACATACTACTCACACTGATGGTTACACGAAAATAAGCTACGTGGTCTACATCGATGATCACACCGTTTAGATTTCAAGAATCAGCCGTATAAATACAAACTAAAACATTCCAAACTAACGTTTGATTTGACAGTTTAGTACTTTCACATTCACCTCCCACAATGCTTTGCTGTGTTGTTTTACAGTAGAGTCCAAAAGTGTGAGACCACMTCCCCATTCATGTGAAGGAGGAAGTGGTCTCTGAATTTTGGATCGCCCTGTACGCGTCACGTGGTACGCTACTTGCGGAAACACTGTTTTCACATAAACATCTTCGTTCAGCGGCGCCATAAACAATCTAATATATAATGTCCACTTCTAATAACAACAACATAAATAGTGGTGACGTTTCCAGCCYCAGTTTTACTTTAACCCATCGACAATAAGAGAAACAACGTACAGTGAGGTCATCTGTGAAAACACAATAGTAGCTGTGGCGTCATCTGGTGGATGGACACGGTCATCACACCATTATTTAGAAGTCTGGAAGTCAAAATACTGCACAAAACTGTACAGGTTTTCTAAAAAGACACGTTCATTGTATTTTTTAAATGGGAAACTACTTGAGCATTAAGGGATACATGATAGAGAAATGTGAGAACTTATGTTTCTATTTATCTGTGCTCTACAACATGAGAAAAGTTGACCCACTGACTATCTATGGYTGTTCTCCTCGAAATGAGGCTTTAATTCGCTGTCATCATTMAATCTTAATTCCTAACATAAAGTATTGGGGGTTAAATTATGGCTAAAGAACGTTACGCAGCAGTTTTAAGTCCAGTGTCTGATCAGCTACGAGATGCTAGGCTACAGCTAGCGCCTCATTACAGTACTTCCGGTTTGACAGGTCGCATCGTCAATTAACGTCAGAACTCGAGTTTCCTTCGTCTTCAACCGCGACGACGTCAACACAAACGTAAACAGACACGAGTGGGACTAGTGTCACAGTCAACTATTGTTTCTGGAAGTTTTTCTTCTCACCTGAGAGTTGAGGGTCGACGTGCGCCGTTAAACCCCACCCCCCCAAAAAATAAATAAACAAGCTCTAACGTGGTCCCCAGCTCGTGTAAAAGACTCTTCTTCGTGTAGTAATCGATATATTCCTCAAAAGTTTTCAATAMAACCGCTAAAAAATCAATAAATATACAGTTATTAGCGGTGACACACCGCCGGAAAAAACACAGAAACAGGTGATTCGCCAATGACGTACAGGTGTGCAGGGCGGAACCGGAAATTACGGGGGTGCATCTCCAACAACAAACTTTCACAACAACAACAATAATAATAATTCATAATAATAATTCATAATAGTTATAATAAAAAACAGATTGTAATACCCGTGAGGCGAAGAAATGAAATAAAGATGATTATCATTTCAGGAAAGTGATCTCAAAGGTTGAGGTGACAAAACATAACTGGGAGAAATAGGTGTGATGAAATTGTTTACAGATCACTGCTGTGAGGATGAAATGTATGTGAATTGAAAGAGAGAGATATGAAACTTATTGACATTTGTCGTTTACAGCAAGAACGGAATTCAACTCTGCAAGGTGAAAAGGGCAGATGTGAAGACAAAAAAAACTGGAGGCTTGTTGGATTTGCCTCCAAATAAAGACAGAAAGTTAAAGTTGGGTTTGAACCAAGTGACAAATGACGTCTTGAAGGTCAAGTCACGCACACCGCCGCTCCACGTTTTGCTTTCTAATCGTTGACCCCGCACTTAGCCAGGTAAGTACCTGTTAAGCCTCTCTGATGGAAGAAGGTCAAGAGAGGAGAGAGGAGGTGCTTCGTCCCAAAGCACGACGAAGAGAAGCACAGCCGGGCTCCTCAATTTCTTGTTTTCTTATCTCACCGTTTAGGAGAGGAAGATAAGGTAAGCAAACTGCAGTGAAGTACAGATGGGGAATGAATGATTTGCAATTAAATTGTTTTCATAAATAGGCCTTTAAACCATTTGCAACCCCCCATAAACAACTATCAAAATATTTGTGTTCATCCACAGCATGTCCAAGACAGGAGAGAGGACCCCCTCCACAACTTCTGTCAACTCTGTGGTGTCAACAGACAGGTACATTAACACTCTTGTAAAAATCTCACTGTGCTTTTCTGTATTTGACACTGGTACATCTATCTAAGTGTTTGGTTGATGGCCCTGTTAATGCTTGATTCCAAACTTGTCTATACAAAGGGTAAATACGTTAAAAAGTGTTAACGTGACAATAAAAGTAATTCTTCTTCTTCTTCTTCTAAAAAAGGCAACAATATTCTTCTTTTCTGGAAAGTATTCATCTAAGTTTTTAAGAAGGTTTCCTAATATTTGACGATAATGCAAAATGTGCATTATTATTACATTTTCTTCATTTTAGCAAAGATGGAATCTCCCCAACGGGTTCAGTCTCCGAAACACCCAAGAAATCTTCAAAGAAATCCAAAAAAACCACGGAGAGTATGAACAAAGTCTACAACACCTTGCTCAACAGTGTTTTTGGAGCGGTGAGTAGCTGACTCCCATATTTTGTGAGGCACATGTGCTGTATTTATGAAGAGGACACTCTCCCACTGCTGTGATATTTAACCTTTGACTGCACGGTGACTTTAAGGTTTTATATGTGGTAATATCTGTCATTTTAACACATCCTGCAACACTGAAAACATTTTCATAAAAGTTTGTTTTTGCACCGATGAAACTTACTGATAATTTAAAGTATAGATTTTTTAAATAAGAGCCATACACTGAGAGAAGATTTCAGATTTCTGAAATATAGATATAGATCATTAGCTGTACGTCAGACATAAAACATCATGCAGGAGCGAGGTGGAAGTAAGGCCATGAACTTACAGCCTCATGCCTGATCTTTCTGGAGCTGCTAAGCCTGGTGTTGCTACAGTATTAGCAGCTCGTTAGTTGGGGATTATTGTCACATTTCATTTGGGTCATGCAGTTGAAGAGCACAACCAAACAACTTAGTTGCTTCAATTTGTAAACGCACGTATGTATCGTTGTGCTGCACAGGACAATAACAGGTGATTAATGATTACCATACTCTGCATGCTGTAGCTACACATTCTCACATATCACCATCCATCCCTGTTATTGTATATTGTTCCCATATTTAAAGTTGTACAGTGGTTGAAAATCTATGACATTATAGGCATTACAATTAAATCAAATTATTTTAAATTAAAAATGTGTGATTACTGTTCCTGCAGGAAAGAGAATTGGCTCAGGCTGAGTTAGATGGTAAGTCTCTTTGCCACATTACAATCATTAACATGTTAATAAAATCATCCGTCATCTTCAATACTGAAAATAATACATACAAAACAGACACAGATATGTATAATCTGAGCTGTTGTTATCTGAGCTGTTATAATCTGTGACCCTGGGACCTTTCTCACAGAGTTGCAGGAGGCATTCAAAGAGTTTGACTACGACCAAGATGGATACCTGAACTACAAGGATGTGGCTGAGTGCATGAGGACGATGGGATATATGCCCACAGAGATGGAGCTGCTGGAAATAGTGCAACAGATAAAGATGAGAAGTGAGCGAATTAAGAGCTGCTTTGAAAATTTGAAACATAAGTGAAAAGTGGCTGTAAAATATTCAGTTGTGCGAGCAAGTATAAAATGAAAATCTAGTTTTAGGTATTTTATTTGCCCACTTTCCTCTCCGCAGTGGGTGGATTAATGGACTTTGAGGACTTTACTGAACTGATGGGACCCAGGATGATGGGAGAGACTGCTGACATGCTGGGACTCAAGGAGCTCCAATCGGCCTTTTTACAGGTCAGTCAGTCAATAATGAAGTTTTGAAGTTATTAACTCTGCCAAGTTTGTTTGTTATTTAGCAGAATTATGCAAAATCTACCAGAAGGATTATCATGAAACTTGGTGAAAGGATCGTGAACCCGTTTTCATTTTGGTGCAGATCCAAATACAAGTCTAGAGTCTAAATTTTAATGTGCTCTCATAAGGGGACTGTTTGGTCTTATGCAAAGGTTTGCACACAACCGAATGCAATTCTAGTTGAAGTTATTAGATTAGAACAAGTAGAAAGAAAGAACTAGTAGGATGCATTTTATTATTGTGAAAAAAATCTTATGTAGCTCAGTCTACGAGTGAAAAAAACAATGCAGCTTTTTAATGAGATAAAGTATTGAAAGTGAAATTGTAGTGTTTTACTTTGAGAAGACACACAGTAGGTTGCAGAGCATTTAGCTTCCAGGTAAGACCATTAAAATAAAGCAATTATTTGTGTAGCAATGTTTAATCTTTAAGTGACATGTCTGTAATAATTTCCTCAAATCCTATTGAAAGTTTGACCTGGATGGAGATGGAAAGATCAACCAGGACGAGATGAAGGAGGCAGTGAAGACGCTGCTAGGAGAGAAGCTGAAAAAAGGAGAACTGGAGGAGATCCTGAAGGAGCTGGACATTAACGCAGATGGAAACATTGACTTCGAAGGTGGGAATCAGACTATATTCTAAATGCTGATTAGAAAATGGATTACATGATGTGAGCTATTGAAGATGCGTTAAAACACCACTCACTGGCTGCAGAACTGACCAAACTCTTCTCTGTCTTCTTTTTCCTTCAGAGTTTATGATGATGCTCTCCATTCGCTAGCTGCTGAAAAGACCGACCACATGGACACAATTCCAAATATTCACATTTTGGTAACCACTCTTCTGTTGCTTAAGTAATAAGAATGATGCAGCACAGCATCAAATACACTTCATGCTGTCATCAATGGTTTTTGTAGTGGCAAGTTTTGCATATAAATCATGTAAATAAGACTAAAATGTTTTGCTATTTTAATAAAGAAATCTAAATCAGACTTGTTGCCTTTTAATGTAAAACATCCACAACACTATTTCAAGATAATACAACAAATAATTAAATTCAGTGATTACATTTGAACCTTTAATACAATTTTTTATTCCAAAAACATTTTTATTCCCTCCAGGTCACTGTTAAACAAACTGGAAATGATAAAATTACTATTATCATCTAGACAATATAAGTTAAATATAAATTAAATTCATGTCGCTTTTAAGTTGTTAACAACAATGCAGCTTTGAGTTTTGTCAAGTTTACTCTCATAGATTTGGAAAGGCCTTGCACATCCAAAAACATGGTGCATTCACGTCACATTTCAGAGTAAAATCCCTCAGGGCAACATTTGATGAACCAACCATCAGAATTTCAAATGATCTTCTACTTGAAAATCTACTGGCATAACACTATCGGTGAATAAATTTTCTTATTATAACATCAAACTATATGTGCACACAACTCAGGAACTTCTGCAACATGCAGCACATGTAAATCTGCAGAAATCAATTAATTGCTGTCATGGAATAAGAAAGGAGAGATGGTTAACCCCATTAAAGTCCGATTGCATCAGTGTCTCAGGTGGAGAGGGGATGAGACCTGGGTTTTAACACATGCATTCCACTGATATGTTAGTGTTTTCTTTTTGTTTCTTCAAAAATAAATTTGAAAAAGTCACATTTATCTTCTATACAAGGCATCAGAATGTAGCTTCGATGCCTTCAGCTCTCCAATTTTTTAGTCAACTGCAAAATTCCAAAACACCACTAATTTACAGTGCATGCAGCGTCAAGATGAACCACTAACAACAACTGGTCAAAATTTAAAAAAAAAAACATCTGACGTAGTTTACCAGTCCTCTGCAAACTCTATTAACGTCTGTGTCATGCTTCTCCTGTTCACTCCTGGTATTAACATCTGAGAGATCCAATCACAAGTGCTTCCTAAATGTGTCTCCTGTGACCAATTGTTCAGATCTCATTTCCCCAGTCTGAGTTGTGTCCGATGACAATGTATTTTGTGTCTGTAGGAGCGGAGACAGAAGGAGCTGAATGAATCAATAAGCTGCTGCTCTTCTATGGAATAGGATTTTACTCATTTTAAAACAAAAATAATCTATTATGAGGTGGTCACAAATAAATCAACGTATGGACACTGAGAAGTGTAAAAATACTTTTGATCCATTATGAAACTGCAGCGAGTCAGTGGACGTCCGCTGAGGAGGCGGTCCTTCGTATATGATTACAACGCATTTGAATGCTTTTATACCAGAACTTAGAGATGACCACTTGTAATGGGATCACTCAGGACTTATGTTAAAACCCAGACTGACTGCAAGAATTGTCATGATGTTAAAGATACTTCCCATCGATACCCAAAAATATTCACTTTGTCTCTGACTTTAAATAAATGTATCACAAAATAAAAATGTTGACTCATCCGCTTCTCCTCCCTTCAGGGGAATGTTTGCTCTGTAGCTTTTTTAACCTTTCTGACAACTGCGCATCCATTAAGCGGCTATTGTAAACAAATGCATTTAAGTTTTCCAAGCATATGAGAACTTCTGCAGTTCATTTGTACATTTTGTGCCCTTTGAGCGTTGCTCACATTACCAGGGTTCAGGTGACACACACTGAAACTGCATGTGCTCTCAGTACTTCTGGATGCTGCTTTGGATTTAAAGCCCAAACCAAATGTTATAACGCAGCTTTGTGAGAATATCACACATAGATAATAGATGGAACTGTAAATGTGTCTGTAGCAGGTTTGTACTTAACCACAACATCATGCATGGGTGTTTTATCCAATGGTCAAACTGCAGTCACTAAAAGTCACATCACCCCTCACTGTACAGCCCCTAACACAACTAGCAAGTTGTTACTACACCTGTACCTCTTGTCTTTCTGTCAATATTAGACTCCACATACTATAAACCCACTCAATTTCCCTTCTTCCCTTCTCCTTCATTTCATTCCTTTCATCTGTCTACTGGTAGATAGATAAAGATGAATAAGCTTCTCCTATTTCATCTATCCACATTTTATAGTGTTTCATTGAGCAAGAGGACAACGCCCATCTTCTCTTTACAACTCATTGGTAATCTCATCAGCAAACTCAGCCATGATGTCATGCACCCAGATGTCTCGTTCCTCCTGCGAAGTGTCAACCAGGAAGACCGTCAACTTCCTGTCCCACGGGTTCGTGGCTTCCTGTAGGTTCTCCAGCTGGGCCACGAGTGGTTTCTTCTCCACGTGGTTCCTGAAAACGATGGAAGCTTCTTCTGACCACTGCCTCGGCTTCACTCCTGTGGAGAGGGACAGAGTTGTCAGATCAACTTCACACACATTGATGACACAATATGAACACATCTGCATTATATAATAGAAACATCTGGCAGGTTATTGCCAGTGTCTTAGCAACAGAAGGTAAAAGAGTGGGTCTGCCGATTGCAGCTTTAATAAGCTTCATTTTTTAACAATGAGAACAAATTCTTTTTTTTACTGTCCCTCTAATCCCTCTTTTATATTTTTTTCAATTTGTCTCATAGAGGACAATTGCATGTGATATAGCCTCATGTAGAGTTTGGATATGACATTAGTATCAGACTGTATTGTAGCTCGACTCCACTCACCAGCCAGCTGAGCAGTGATTCCCTGAAATGGCAGCTGCCTGAACTCCTTGATCAGAGGTCGGAGCTGGGTGCAGCTGATCAGCTCATGTTTACCATAGTCCAGCTCATAGACAGACACCAAGCCATTGGTCAGAACTCCCTTCACTAACACACGATGCCAGCTTAGAGAAGAAAAGGATGAAGAGTAGTTACATTACTGGATATCCACTACACAGAAACAGGTCAGAAGTCTCCACAAATACTCAAATTAATTATCTACTAGATTTTTTCACTTGTACCAGCTGTTTTCACTAAATGAAATGACATTGCTTCACTCACTTGGTCTCCACTTTAGCAGCATATATCTGATTCTTCTCTATGTTGAGTGGTTTTTCTTCAGTTTTATTGTAGTACAGAATCATCTCTCCCATCAACACCACCAATTTGTACATATCTCTCCAGGGCTGCAGCACAAAGTGGCCCGGATGGCACGCCACAGATACATAGACATCTACGTTGTTTCCTGAGGAGAAGAAGATTAAATTAAACCTTTTTTTTCTGATTTCATCCCTTGGGGATTTTACCTTTAAAAGAGACATATTTAGCCTTTAATTTTAATCTCTCCTCTAGTGTGTTATAAATCTTTGTGTATGACAGCTCCTATCTTCCACAGATAAAACTGCTTCTTGTCAGTAGTAGCTTCCACACATTCATGATGTCTGGCTCACATTTGCAAAATGCCCATCTGGCCCGACTCCTTACAAAGCCAAGTAAAACGAGTGCGGATGTTGCGTTGGAAGCTACTCATTATAACAGAGTGGACCAGCTGGCCAGTGAGATCAGACTGGGCTTTATCAGGAGCTAAAACCAAGTTCTTCTGACATAAGGTGAAAAGTGGAGCTGCAGTATGAGGAAAGTGAGGTGTTTTCTGAACATTAGAGCATGTAAATCTTTTTTAGTAATAGTACCAATTAAAATGATGGACCTGAATATGAACATAAATAATAACTAATCAATTAAATGACTCTTTTGTTTAATATCATCATTACCAGCTGGAGGCAGCTCTAGTAGTGGTGGCAGCTGGACAGAGTTTGAGGGAGTTGAAGGCGTCTCTGGTGGAGTGGTGCGGGTTGTGTTTCCTCCTCCACCTCCTGCAACTCCTCTGTGACCCGGCAGAGCCCTTCGGATTTGAGGCTTAGCTGGGACAGTAGTTGATCTATTATCGTTAGTGGAGTCGCTGGTACTGGATGTCTTGGAGGATAAAGTGGCTGTGGAGATCTTAGCAGGGCTGTAAAATGAAATAAACAAACATGTGATTTAGTGTATAAGGTGATACATAAGGTAGACAATGATGCAGAAATATAGTTAAGAACAAAGGAGCAGAAACCTGTGGCTCGTCAGGAAAACATCTGGTTGATGTTTGAACAGGTCAGACTGCGCCATCTGATGGTTGAGGCTGCGGGCCGGGTCATGAAAGTTCTTATCAGTGAACAGGTGGACGTAGGTGCAGCGCTTGGTTTCATCTACCTTAGCAACCTTGGCGATAAAAAGTGAAAAATACACAAGGAAGGAAAATGGTGTAGGCAGGAAACAACAGAATCATAAGTCTTAGATTCTCAACCAGACAAACTCATGATAGTAGTAGTGTTCATTATTTTGACAAGGGCTGACAGACACTTACTTTCATGCTGCAGTCAGTGATGTTGAGCACTTTCTCTCGAAGCCACTGGACAGCATCTGGAGTCCAGGACCCAACACTGACAGCCAGGTCGGCTAGACAGCACTTCACAGCCTACACACATGTTGTTGGATGTCAGTACATTTAAATATAATAATAATCTCTGAATAGTCAGTTTCCATTGGCTGTCTATCATGGACACAGATGCTGACCTGCGGTGGGATAGCCATTAGGTCACGGAGGAATAGTGGTGGGATCTCTCTCAGCTCAAACACTTCTACAGATGCCTGCACACCCACGTCAATAAACAGGATGTCCAGCACTCTGCTGCCATGCAGGTTGGTGATCTAAAGACAGGGAAGGTACAGGATTAATGTTTTTAATCTGTAGCTCATACATATAAAGAAAAGACACACATCTGTAAATCATGATAGATTTGGGATTACATAGCCAGGTAGTGAGATTTATGTCTTTAAAGATATAATGACTTAATGTATGTTATACATTTTGTTGACTTGTGTACTTACATTATCCAAAATGTTTCCATTAATGTACAAACCTACTGAAATCCACAATTTTATTCAAGGTAACGGGATGTGTCACTTTGGCTGCTTTTTATTTGCGTCATATTTGCTTTACAACTGACTTTGCCCATCTCTGCTTTAACTTCTGTAGGAAATCGATGCATGATGAAGGAAAATGATACTGCCAGCCAGCCAGTTGGCATGGATTAAAATTATTGTAATCCTCCATGATTTGTACCAAAGTCAAGTAGTAGAAAGTCATCGGCAATGATGCTGAAGAGAACAACTCCCTTTATCCCAAGATGCTTCACAATGTTATCAAACCAGGTCATTTGTTTTGACTGGGAGATCCAGAACGGCCAAAATTACATACTGTACGTTTAAAACTTATTTTATAGCAATCGCTACAATAATCAACTGATGAACAAGGGATACACTTTATCAAGTCTTATTTTTGATCTCGGCTCAATGAGGCAGCTACAACTGCCACTCCTGAGCAATTGTAACTGGATTCCTTCTGTCAGGAATAAGCTAAATCAAGCATATGACGACATATTTGATAATAATAATTTTTTTCTTAAGGTAACAGTTGTATCTTCTCACCTCTACACGGGACCATTTGCCTTTGTAGCGAGCCATACATCCTTTCCCACAAAAGGGTCTGGACACCAGGAACTCTGAAGTTACCTGATATAAAATAAAGATCACAGAACAGCACATTGAATCATCATGTCATGGAGAAAACAAGAGTTAGTGTCATGGATAAATGTGACCATATTTTCCCTGAACTGCTGAGGTGACTGAGTATAGCATGGAACTGATGCTTAATTCCTTCGAAAACATTATACTGGAAAAGCTCACACATTTCACCTGTCCAGTCTGCTGCAGGTGTACACTGCAATTTGAATATCATATGCAAAATGAATGTAACCTCAGTCTGTTATAACCGGACCTTCTCCACGGCACAGTGTCGACACTGGAGGATAATTGAACACTTTAAAACTTCTGTTGCTATCTTCTAAAGTTGATTAATGCACTGTGAGTCTAGAGGGGGGATTACTGGAACAAATAAAGTATTTAAATTTTTCTGGTTTCAATTTTGGATTAGTGAGGAGCTCTTTCCTCATATTGGTTAGACTCAGGTACTATCCTGCTTATTTACAGGCTGCATATGCACTTTCTTAAAAATAATAAGATCGGAACTGTAACAGACATTATCAGACTCCACGCTGTGTTTGTACCTTGACACTAATGTAGCTACCAGATAGGACAGCAGTGGCACATGTAGAAAAAGCACCCGCTCCACTATGCTGCCAACAGATTAAGTGGCTTGGTAATGTCTTAACTCCAGATTATCAACCTAATCTCAATCTGTCCACAACTCCGTCTGACGGAAGCAACACAGAAAACATTGGCACAAGGCTTTTTAAGCTTACTCTGCTCTCTTCTGAATAATATGCAGCCTGACCAAAAATGCCCAGCTAAGCTTATTTTCAGATACATAAGTATCTGAAAAGTATATACTTTTATCAACACGTGTTCTCCATTTAGAAATACTGCTTCTACATAAGTAAATGCACATAAATAGACACGCAGTATGCTGATGCAATTAAAGTAAGGACGTGTAAAGCTACACATAGAGAAGGCTGACGAGAAAGAGAAAATAACAGAGATAGAGCAAAGAGGCAAAATAAATATAGAGGTTATGTTCTGGAGCTATGAATGCAGTCTCTATAATGAAATCTATAACACAAGTAGAACTACAGTGTTTTTTACACATATAATTAGAATAGTATTTGTAATCCTTCACAACCCTCTCACTACAAGAACAGCAGTCCTTTCATCAGATGTTACAGTGATTTCCTGCCGCTTTACTGAATTATACAGTCTATTATATATATGAGGTAACTATAATTGAAATTTACCTACTGCCTCATTGATACTGAAGACATTAAGATCACAGAGAGTTGTTTTATTTCTTAAAGACTCTGTAGTTATTTTATTTTACGTTATTTTAATAAGAGTAAATAGTGCATTTACTGGTGGCTACTTTCTGTTCTGGATGAATACATTTTTGTACTAAAATGAGCATTTACAGCTGAACTACAGTGCTGTGAAATGTACTGAAATTAATCTACAGTGATTATGTTCTTTATAATGAAGGAACACGTCGACCTGCGCAACAGTGAATCTCAGTAATGTGTTTCTGGTCTTAACATCAAATAAGCCATCTTCAAACATGAACTGTTCCAGTGTCAGGAGATTATCTGCAGTTCAGTGCTTGTCTGAAAGCAGCTTCTGTTTGTTATAATGAAGAAACATGGCAACCAGTACAACAGTAAATCTCATAATGTGTTTCTAAAAGTTTCATCAGATAGAGATGTTGAATGTAGCATGGTATATTAACCTGTGAGTGGAAGTATGTCTCTATATTCTCCAGTAACTCATTCAGCTTGGCCAGGCCTCTGGAGGGCAGTTGACAGTAGACAGTTCCATCTGAGCAGACGCTGCTGACGGTCACATTCATATAAGCGCTGTTCACCTGAGGAGAGTGACTAATAGAAGGTTAGTGTGCTGCATGCTCTCACTCACACACACATTATGTAAACACATTTGTCTTCTGTACCTGTAACGGGCTTGCTAGCGTCTTGTCCTGCAAAGCTTTCATGCAGGCAGCGTTGATGTTGACATCATCATCCTGCGACGTGTCGTACAGGACGGCGAGAGGGGTCTGCCCTCTCTCTAGGATCTCAGCCAATAGGATCCTACCACTTGCCATCGTCTCAAACTTCTTCAGCACTGCAGGCTCCTGACAGAATGGCTCCAGACCTGGACGCACAGTCATAAGGTCACATAAATTTGATCCAGAAAACAAATGATTGTGATGAAGGGAAAACAAGGACTGGCTGATGAAGTGCTGATTCACACTCACCTGCTAGTTTACACTTGGTCGCCTGGAAAGGAAGTTTGAAAAACTTCTCATTCAGCTCAAACACTTTGTTTTTGTTGATCACCTCTGAGAATCCATGATCCACATAGTAGGCCTAGAGAGTCAAAGGCAAAGACCCCAGAGATCATTAATACTTCCTCATTCTAAAACATATCATTCATTATTGTTATTTGTACACACTGTTGGAACCTTCAAGTTTGGAGTGGTAAATAAGCAAAATGAAGTGGAATGAAAAAAATGCACATAGCTTTTTTTCCTAATCAGATGCAATAAACTTTTAATTAATTTCCATTGTTTCAACATCAACCCTGTAAAGTAAATTGAGAGGAAATCATTTTCATTTTTTATATCTTAATCAAGTCCTCCTCATCCTTTCAATTCAGTTTTCATTTGTGCACTTTAACATTAGTATATTCTGTCCTGTGCCATTTGTATGGCCATCCATCACGGTTATTTTCTGTTTCTGACCTCTCACCTTGACCTTGTCAGCCATGACCTCACAGACTTGTGCCCTCAGGATCTCCTCTTCTTCCTCAGCTCTGACAGCAACAAGTTGGCCAGAGGATGGGGATGACAAAGGAGGTGGAGTACTTTGGTTCAGGCCATAAAACTCTCTCATCTCATCCTCCATGGTTTCCTGGGCCTGGGAGTAACCCTCACCAATGTACCTAAGAGAGTTCGAGAGACATTGTTTCAGGAACTGTCAAATCTTACTGCACCATCCCACTTACAGTTTTCTCCTACCTGAGTATAACACCGTTGGTGTTGGTAGCCTCCACCACCAGCACAGAGGGGTACTCCTCTTTGGGAATTTGCAGAGAAGGCACCGCATGATTACTGAGCCTCCTCCCCAGCTCCTGCCTCACCCTCAGATCCTCTTCACTGGTCGAAGAGTTCCTCCTATTGCAGTTTTCATCCTCTCCTCCTCCATCTTCTGTGCTGCTCCTCCTGTACAGGATGGCCCTCTTGGGGTTGTCAGGCATCGGGTAGTCAATAGTGCAGATGTCGGAAAGGAGATGAAGGTTCTCCAGAACATGACTGGGCAGTTTGGTCTTGTAAATGAATAAAATAAAACAATTAATTGTTCCAAAATGTGTAAATGACATGTACATGATAGTTTTTTAAAATATTACTGACTTTGTAGGTGTCCTGAAAGAGCTTGGGCAGTGCGTGTGCCCACAGACCGTTGGAGTACTTCATCAGCAACTCCTCCAGTTTCAGCCTCAGGTCGGGGCCAAGGGAGGCAGGGGAAGAAGGAGGGCTGGGGGATGAGGAGGACGATGGCGGAGACTGAGGAGAGGGAGAACCTGAGCGAGTCAGGTGGGTGGTGGGGGGTCTCTGTTGAGCAGGGAAATGCAGGGGTTTATCTGCAGGGGTGTTTGATTTCGGGACAGGGGCGCTGGTTGAGTTCAAGTTAACGATGGGTGAAGGGGAGGATGTGGTGGTCTGTTCCTTGGCAGGGTAGAGGAGCAGTTCTGTTGGGTTGCTGCTGCAGGTTTTCTCTACCTGGAACAGGAAATGAAAAGAAATGATTATAAATAATCGCACATGACAACAAAGTCATGAAGCAGTTGACGAAGTATACAATATAATATAATACATTTTTAGACTTTTAGACTTTTAGACTTTTAGAATTTGTTGTTGACGAGAGAGAGCTCCCAATACTGAATGTTTTCAATTTGAACCAAATTTGTGCCATCCATCATCTATACTGCTTATCCTTTTGAGGGTCACAGGGGGGAGCTGAAGCAAATCCCAGTTGACATTGGGTGAGAGGCTGAGTACCCTAGACAGGTCGCTAGCCCATCACAGGGCCAACATAAGACAAGCAACCATTCACTCTCACAAACAATATTATTTGTGATTATTATTTGGCAACAGAAATGCTAGTTATAAGAGTTAAATGTAAAATTAAAGCTTTAAAGAGTGCATACAGTGCATATGTGTGTCCAGGTCTCCAGGTCTTTGGCGGCCTCAGTGGGCAGGTCTTGTTTGTACAGCTCTCTGTAGATCTGAGGAAGCTTCGATACCCAGAACCCATTGCTGTACTTCGACAGGATCTCCCTGATGCGCCCCTGGACCTGCTGAGGGTTGTAGGGTTTTCCTTTTCCAGAGCTCAGGCTCTCGTTCAGATTCAAGGGTGCTGGAGAAAAGAAACACACAGGAGAGATTACACATGCTCATTTCATAGTGTCATAATGCTTTGATTTCTAGCTTCTGAAACTACTGGATTAGTTTTCTCCAAAACAAAGGAACTTGTCTTAGAATAGATGGAAGGGAAAGATTGAGAAATGATAATGAGGAACGCAAGATATTCTTAATTATTTCCATGGATTTGCCTTTACATTGACTGGAACTCCTCTTTACATTCAAATGAGCTAAATCAAGAGAGGAGATCACAGAATGTTCTTAATAGGGGGTCACAGGCTTTTAAAACCAGCAGCTTTAACAATTTCCTTAAAGGATCTGGAACTGCTGGACACTTTCAAATATGTTCTTCAAAACTTTGCAGCTTATTAGAGGCCAGTGCTTTTCCCAGGTGACACAGAACATGACCTTTCTTCAAAAGGTTTGTGGGAGAGGAGTTAAAGAGGAGAGAGCAAGGACACTTGGGACTGTAAAACTTCATAAACACTTAAAACAGATACACCTAACAGAGATGTGGTTTCCATTTGTTTCTTTTATACTGCACTAAACCATTACAGTTGGAGACGGACACGATTTGATATATGATGTCACAGCATGACAGCCACACCCCTTGCATCAACATTGCTGTTTATTTCAAGGACAAAAAAAATGCCTGAGCATTACAAAGAAAAGGCTCTCCTACTTACGACCAGTCTGTGGGGGGTTTCTGGAAAGGTGAGCTTGCACCTCTTTATGAAACCGTGATGGCAGAGTCATCCTCTTGTCTGACCTGGACAAAAGAGGACACATCATGGAGGAGGATAACTAGGAGCAGTGGAGAAGAATCTCTCTATGAGAAATCCAATTTGTATTATTCCATAAAATGTTACAAATAGAAAACAAAAAGTAAAGTAATGCAGTCAGATGGATTAGATTAAAGCTGGCACAAACAGCACCTGTTCGTTTACAAAGTGGTTTTCTGGAGCCTGCTACATTGAGGGCTGCACTTTTCTTTAGTTGTGCTTGCAATATTGAGAAACGTTTGCCGAAGGAACCTCGGAATCAAGTGTGGACAATGACTTGAACAGTATTTGCTCTTCTATCCAGGCACAGAATGGCCTCATCTACTAATGTCCCCTGTGCTGTCATTTTAACAGAAGTTTGTTGTTGTAATTCATTCATTCATTCATTTGCCAGGAATCTAATAGCACACACACACACACACTGTCCATTGGAAGTAGAGGGATACAGAGAGATGTGCTGATTCACTCTGTGTCGGTTTAGAAGCGTTAATCTACCAGAGAATAGAACGGGGATTAGAAAGGGCTCATGTCCCCCCTGCTCTAGGCTCGTGTCCTCTGCCAACACACCAGGCTCCCCACCCTGTTGCCCCATTGTGCTGCGAAGAGCCAGTGGGCCCATAGGACACCCATGGTGACACAGACAGAGGACTGATGTCAGTTGTTTTCAGAGGGGACAGGCGTACAGAGCCGTGGTTGGATGGAAGTGCAAGGGAGAAAAGGTCAATGAGCTGAATCTTGAATCACTTCAAAGCATTTAAAATAGATGATATCTAACAATGTTAGACAGTTTCTTTAACAACAATAAATCAGGTGTTTAACTCAATCCCTGTCAAGGTGAAGACAGTAGCTGTATGAAGACAAAGACCACAGGAATGATTTTCAAAAACATCTTTGTGCCAATGAAAAGTAAAAGGAAGGACGATGACAGAGTGGGAGGGTTTGTCTGTCTGCACAGAGAACGAGAATAATCTAGAGAGCACATCATCAGCCTAATGCTGAGTAAGCAGATGCAGAGAGGCCGTTTGCTCTCATGAACCAACCACCAAAGTTCAACCAGCCTCCCTTTCACCAACGACCTGATTCAGGTCAGACCACACAGTTGGGGAGGAGAGGAGGCAGAGCTGTCGGAAGAGACAGTACTGAGAGACAGCATTGAGAGACAGGGAAGGAATGAAGAGAGAGAGAGAGAAATAAAGAATATATATATTTTTCGTATTTGTTGTATGTAATCTCGATTCGGTATGAACACATGATAACAGAGACTTTGCTTTCATTTCTATCAGGTCTTTTCTCCTACTGCTAATCGCTTGTTTTGTCTAGTCTTCTGATAGTGAGTCACTGTATTCATATGTCTGCCCTGAAGAAGCAGCGCTGCTCGGAGGGCATATTGTACCATGTTGCCTTGTAATTCAAAGATGGCTGAAGCTCTTGACAAGTTGCCATCCCCTTCACCACCCTCTCCCTGCAAAAGTATGTACTGTATGTATTTTCTTATCTAGAAAATATCTTAAAATAACCCTCTGTCGTACTAGCTGTCTCATACTTTTATAGAAAATATTTTGAAAGCATGTTGCACATACAGGAAATTCTTTGGTACGATACCTGGCTTTTCTGAGCATGTGCACATTCCTCTTCTTGGATTTCTTAAGCAGTTTGGGAGCCTAGTTTTGACTTCCATAAATGATTGCAGTATAAAATCCCCCAAATTGTGAAACGGTTTGGTATAATTACTTGGAGATGAAGTTGGCCTTTTCAAACTAAAAGCCAGCAGAAATGAATTTGCAATTGCAAAATTAGTTTTTGTTGTATTTTCTTCTGTGCCAAGAAATGGTAAATCAAGTTCATTTACACTATTGTCTGAGACTAAATTGTATATAATTGATAAAATAAAAAGTGACTTTGACTCTGAAAAGTCACAAAATAATTTCTCGACTCGAATTTCCGCTCTGTTTCCAGCCTCTTACTCCCATCTTCTTCTAAACCGTCCTCTCCACTCACTTCTCTGCAGGTGGGTTCCCCTTCCTGTTGGGTGTGTTCTGATTGGACATCTTGTTTGCCTTGCTCTCTGACTGGCCATCCCTCATATCTCTGGCTTGTCTGGAGTCTCCATGTCCTGTCCCTCGGCCACCTCCTCCTCCTCTACCACCACCACGTCCGCGGTGGTTCGGCTGCCTCAGTGAGGTTTGAGGTTTGGCTGCACAGAGAGAGAATAGAAGCAAGCAAGACAAGTGAAATTATGGACCCCAAGTTAACAAACAGTTGAGCCTGATTTTAAAACAGAGCAGTGTATCGATATGGAAGCCACAGTATCATTTTGTAGATATTTGATGAATATCTGTACATGCAAGAGGTAGTAATAGCTTTAATAAGCGAGCCAGCAAGCAGCAACATCACAATATCCCAAATTACACATGGCACCTTCCTGAGAAATTCAGAATCATTGTTTTTGTGTTTTTGCTATAAGATTTGTTAATATAACTTCCAAAATACATTATGTGTGGAAGTTAAAGTGATGAATTAAACTACATGGCAAGAGCATATGATCTAAAATAGCATATGATATAAATATAGTATCCTATAAACTAGTTTTGTGTTCCTGTAGCATTTTGCTCCTCAATGTAGGACTGGTGACATCACTACTAACACTACTGGAAGGAATAACTGTCAATATAAAACAGAGCAGAATTACTGTATGTGTTTCATGATTCAAGCACAGCATGACATGACATTTCTGCTGAGTGACATCACCATTACACCTTGTTGTGCATAGCCCTTAGTCATTTCCACTCCACACTCCTCTTCATCTTCCCCCATTCCTCCTCCTACAGTTCTTTTTGTTGTCACTCTTTTCTTCATCTTGCTTTTTCCCAGCAGGGTCTAGAACTTTCTCCTGCTTTCTCATATTCTATCTTTTAGAGAGATTGTTGAATCTCATTCAATCTTTTCAGTGACAAAACAACAACGAGCCAGTGAATCAGTGAACATCTTAAAAAGTCAAAACTAGGCAATTTCGACTTCGCTTGTCTCCCTGAGTGGATATATATGCTTAGCCTATATGTGCTACTTCATCAGTAAATAAATACGACAAATCTTCCAGAGACCCACAGATGTTACAGAAACTCAGCAGGTACACATGCACACAGGCACAAGCTTAATTATCATGCAAATATAAGCAATAGACAAATACACACACACACACACACACACACAAACATGCATCAGACGCCACGTCACCTCACCGGTGTGGACACACAATCCTTGGCCTATCTTTGTCTGAATATAAACATCCCCAGATGGTGTAGGAGAGAACAAGAGGGAGTGAGGGAGGGAGAGAGGTTGATTTGCGAATCAGCTGCTTTTCGCTTGCAGCTGAGTCTCAGCAGCTATAGACTCTATTAGCCTCAAACCTCAACACTCTACCCCACTCTCCCTCTTTCTGACTCCCTCCTTCCCTGTCATCTGTCCCCTCCCTTCTTACCATTTCACCATCCTACTGCCTTTCTTTCCCGCTTGCTGCCACTGCTCCCCTCTCCTTTTCTCCTTCCTCTCTCGCCTCTCTGCACTACCACCTCCTGCATCCTCCTCTGACTCTTTAAGAAGATTCTGCAGCATCACAATCATATGGAGGTTTATATGCTGCAGTGTGTGCATGTGTTTTTATTAATGCACGTTTGGATATGTGCATGTCTGGTACTTTTTATGAGTGTGTTTGTAGAGCAGACATTAAATAAAGGTTTAGACGTGCATGTGTACATGCACAGTACATGTATGTGTATGCTGACATCATTAAACACTGATACCTGAGTAGCCTAGAAAATTGTGCATTGCTCTGCTTCGGTGTGTGTGTGTGTGTGTGTGTGTGTGTGTGTGTGTGTGTGTGTGATATTCTTGGAACTGCAGGTCTCCACAGAGCAACAGTTAAAATAGGCCAGTTATTCATCCACACATAGATTCACAGTATTTTTCTTAGGTTCCATTGTCACAGTACTGATACACACACACACTGGACACTTTGTAATTCTCCCCTGCTGCAGTCCTGGTGCACTGTAGCTCAAGCCCCAAGAGGAGCCAGGGAAAGGTTGGGAAAATGTGGTTGTTGTGGATGCCAGAGACGTCACAGTAGAACTCAATATATATGTAATTTCACGCAAAATCCAATTGCAGATGATTTCTTCTTATTGTGCCCACATTTATTTGCACCCCTTGACAAAGAAAAGAGAAATACTGATAAAAGATAAAAGTCTTCTTCAGCCTTCAGCCCTAAAGCTGTTTTCAGACACGACCTATGGGTAAAATCTAGAGCTTTCAAAGATGATGCATTTATATTTAGGTTTAAGATACAAAATATAAAGTACATGCTACATGTATACTCCTTCAATTTGAGCAGGAACTGCTACATTTAATGCAACTATCCATCCATTATCTATATAGCTTATCCTATGAGGGTCATGGGGACTGATTTACAGCCAACTCGTGACACTGAAGATGTAAGTTAAAAATAACTGTATCACTGGAAAGTGCTGTAAGATTACAGGTGGTGTGTGCAGCTTGTAAACTGGATTACATTCCTCTTGGATACTATAATGAAAATCACATTGAAAATCACATTAGGGCTATTACCTTGCCATTTCTGTTCCTACCTAATTTACAGTAAGCATCAACTTGTTGACTCTTGAAGAAATTGTGAATTCCCACATGCATGAAGGCTGTGTGATCTGTTTTCAAACCCTCCTCCTAAAGAAATGGCTGTGCAGCTGTGCAACTGCCACCAAATTCTGAGTAAATCTTACCATTGAGGACAAGTGGTGCTGCTGGTTTGACCCTCATCTGGGTGTTGACCAGGTGGGGTCGGCCTGTCTTCTTGGAGCTGCGCTGGCGAGCCACCACCTTGGCTATATGGGACGTCTCATTGGCCCCCGAGGCAAAATAGACCATCTGATGAGAGAGAGGGTTACACGGATATATAATATCAAAAACTGATCACAAGGTCGATGAAGCTGTTGACTCCACCAGCAACACAGGATAATTATTTCATGCTACTTAATGGATCACTGGCATCATCATTGTTTTAACCTGACTGGGTAAATGGGAAAACATTTTTAACTAATTACTAGGACATTGAGAAGGTTGAGGCAGACTGTCCTGGCAAGTAAACTATAGCTATGGTCCATATATTTGAAAGAGGACACCTTTCCAACATGTTTAATTGAGTTTTGGTTGTGACATACAGTAATTGGATACCTTCCTGTATGGGGCGCTCCAACAACACTCAGACACATTTAAAACGGATCCATATATTGTCAGAATCCCACAAAGAATATGCCATCATCATTTGGGCAAAGGTCATTACTGTATAGGAGCTCTTACTCTAACAAATACTGGTAAACAAACTGCTGTCATCAGCTTATGAATTTCATCTGGATTTGTTATATGAGCTATATCATAAATGTTTTGTGGCACTAGTCAAACAAGGCACACACACACACCTCTCCAGAGCGGTTGCGCTCCATGCGAACAACTGACGACATGCCAGCTAGCAGTGTGTCCAGGTGGTTGTGTCCCAGTTGTTTGTGTGGTATCTGCTCTCCGGTGAGCTCCTTGTACTCTGACTGTAGACGTGACAGCGACACTCCATTCTTGTTGGCCTGGAGGATGGCCCGCAGCATCTTCTTCACCAGCTCCCTGTCAGCCATCTGAAAAAGATGCAGTTCCTTTGTAAGCAATCAAAAACTCCATATAAAGCATGTAAACAAAAATATACAACACAACAAAGACACTATGCCATGAACTCAGCTTTAGCTTCCATCAGCTTGCCTTTAGATTTAATACACCCTTTGGGTCATTGGCTTACTGGTTATAAAAGTTTTTTTTAAGTAAGCAGTGTGTTTAAGTAGTATTCCATTCATCTGTCTTTTAAGTAGGCATTTATTGGTGGATTAGCTCTTCCAAATTATCCCTTGTTTTCAACAAATCACCAGGTGATAAAGTGTTACCCTGGACACATTGCTTTGTACAAGTGCTTCAAGTTCAAGATACTCCCGATTAACTCCTGTTGTGCAGCCAGTTATACTCCGCCCCTTTAGAAGTGAAAAACTTTCAGTTTCTATTCTAGTCACCCTCTACGGGAAATAATAAAAAACAGTGCAAAGTACAAATCAGTACATATGTTTGATATATTAAAAATACCTGGAAATTGGAAACCCAAGAAGAACAGTGATGAAGAAAAAAATGTGAGAATACGTTTCACTGAAAAACAAGTGAACTGGACTTGCCGGATAAACGCTTTAGTGCCACTGATTTAGCCACTTTGTGCACATGAAATGTATAACATTCAGCAGAGCACGAAAGGTTTGCAACACTTCACCTCTGTGTCTGACAGAGAACACTCTGTTTAACTTGAATATGTGTGTATGAGATGTAGTTTGCTTTATATTATGTTTCATATTTTGTATAGGTTTTATATTTTTACATTTTGCTTGGTGTGTTGTGTGCCTGATACATTGCTGATATAACACACAGAAGTTCTTTTATCTATCTATCCATCTATCTCTCTACCTACCCATCCATCCATCCATCCAGATCTTTCTATCTCTCTCTCCCTCTCTCCCTACCCATCCATCCATCCATCCATCCATCCATCTATCTCTCTCTCTAGCTACCCATCCATCCATCCATCCATCTATCTCTCTCTCTAGCTACCCATCCATCCATCCATCCATCTATCTCTCTCTCTCTCTAGCTACCCATCCATCCATCCATCTATCTATCTGAAGAATTATAACTAAACGGTGACTGCGCAGTGATCATGTTGAATGTGAGAAGTCTCCGTGTAAACAAGTGAAGTGTTCTCATGGACGCTGTCTACTCCAGCACTGAGGCCACTTGTTGATTTGTTCGGCTCAGCGAAACTCAGAGTGACGTAACGCGTCGCACTCGGACTCCACGCCCTCAGTGAGCACTGAACTATGTGGATGAAGTTTCTCTTTCTTTTTTAATTCTCTGAGTAACCCTGTGTGTCCCCGCTCCAGACAGACACACTCACACACTCACACACTTCTGGACTCCACGAAGTGTCCCCGCAGGAAAACAACACAGCGCGCGACACCGAGTTAAATCCTCCACGGCAGCGGTTCGTCAAGCTCGCGACCGGATGAGACCTTCGGTATGAAGGCACATGAACATCCTCTACAAAATAAAACGATCACGCCCTCACGGAATGGCTGCTGCGATGCACACCAGTCACACACGGTATTATTTTGAAAGTCACAACCAGAAACACATATTTGTGTCCTAGTTGGCTTGAAGGTTTTCGAGCCATCCTGGCCGGGACTGTGGAAGAGGGGGAAATGATCACCTGGTAAAACTTTGCAAAGTGATTGTTTTAAAAGTCAATAATAATAGCAACGACACAAATGATAGAAAAAGCACCATACCTTGCTCTGAAGCGCCGGCACGGTGAGGTCAGGATCGGGTCCACTCGCTGTCACCGCCGCGGGGCTGCGGCCGGAGCTCTGTCCCGGTGTGTTTGTCAGCCGGTCCTCTGCCTGCCTCTCCTCCGCCTCCTGATTGGTCCGCTGTGCCTGGGCCTCCGTCTGATTACACGTCAACGTGCATCCAGAGACACGTCTCCTGTCCATCACCTTCTGCTGTGGGACTGTAGCTGCAGTGTGCTGAGCTTTTACTTCTTATCATCCAATCTTTCTCACTGCTCTTCTCTGACAAGGCAAACATGTCCACACAACCTCTTATCCTCGTAAAATACATTAGAGTATTAAAGCAAAGCAGATTAAACACCAGTAACAATTATTCCCATTATATATTCATCTGCGAAAAGATGGCATCCGAATAGTTTTCTGACTTTGGCCTCTCATAATGAAAATCTGGAAGCTGGAACTATTTTTATTCTCTAGTCTACTTTATATTCGGCAAACTATTTTTTGAATGATGTTTGGTTGCACATTTAGGCTACATGCATCTGCCATTCCCATTACTTGATTCTCTGTCACTAACTACGTTTAAACTATGGTTCTGCTTAAATATCTAATGGATAAATTAGTGATAAGACTACATTTGGTTTAAAAACCTCAGATAATATTGATTAAGCTTTTCATTGTGTTACTTTGACCCCTTTCCCCCAATCATTCTTATCAATGGATTGAATTGAAATCTCACTTAACAAGCACCCTGTGTGCTGAGATTTACAGATTAGAGAGCAAAAAGCTCTGTGACAATGGGAACACTCAGGACCTCTCATTGATTCCTGTTTTTGTTTATTTTACACTTATAATTTACACTATGATTAAACGTTTTTAACTAGAGGTTATTGTACAGCTTTTGTCACAGCTTTGGTGACAATAATGACAGCACGGGGCCAAAAAATAAACCACAATAAGTAAAAAATGCAAGAGAAAGGCAACAAACCCCATCACTGCAGAGGACTGTGGGTCTACAGCTGAGTGATTAATCACGAAGTCCACACGGCCACTGGGGGCGCTAAGTTCCACTCCCCCTTCTTCTTCTTCTTTTATCTTTGGGCTGTCAGGCCACCGGAAGTGACCTGTCAAAACCGGAACAGGCTGGAGGATTTTCCAAGCTAGGTTGCCAAAAAAATAACAACAGGGTTTAATTGACTGTCTGCATGTACGGACCAAGGAGATTTATTTAAAGTCAGGGATCTCTGTGTATGCCAGGTGGGTGAAGTTACAGAAAGCTGATATTTTATGTTCGACGTTAACTCGCTGTATGACTTTAGCTTTCTTGCTAACGTTGGCAGCCCAATTGTCAAGTGGTTCAACGTTAACAAAGCTAACAAAGCTGAAATCTGATTCCCAACTAAAGCGTTAGCTGAGCTGTTTTAAAGTAGTGTCGTGCTTCAATGTCTATTTTAGAGCGTGACTCAAGCTAACGATGCAGTGCCATATGTCCAACGTTATATAGCTGTATTGCCATCACTGTATGTTTCCTATGTCTCCATTTATTTCTTTGTCCTTTTTTTGTCAAGAATCGGTTGGAACCTGTGATGCTATACCTAACCCATATGTGGTTTTATGGCAAACAAAACAAGCAGCTAAAAACAATTCGTTCCAGGCCTTCAAAATAACAGCTGCAAGCTAGCTAACGTTAGCCATCGTTTGCCAGCTGGTGACTGACTGTATGGTTAAGAGTTCATTGTTGGCATTTGTTAAATGGTTAATCTCACAGTACATGAAATGGTTAAATGTATAAAGAGGTTATATAGAGGTTGGGCTAGTTAATTGAGTGGACTCAATGAAAACAGTAAAGCTAGCATCTGTGGGAGACAGCAGCTAGTTCCCCATCCTCCCTCCTCTTTCAGTGACGTGACAGACCTCTAGGATCCCTCCCTAAAATCCTCCTCATGTATTGTCCTTCTCTCCCGGAGAAGAGGAAGGAATGTGAAAACAGGAAAAGTAGCATTTGAATCGTATCTTAATACTGGAGGTGAAATTATACTAATTTTCAATCATGGCTTTAAACAGGCGACATTCCTATACCCCCAGGGTGAGTAACATGATCAATACTCATCAAATAATGTTTTATTTAGTGCATCAATGCTCATTTTGATTCATGCATTTGATCATTAGAAGTTGTACCATTGTTATTTAAAAAGTAAGAGTTTGTGACACTCACCATAAAGTGGTTGCAGGTTTGCATCTTCATCAGATAAAATCTGTAATAATGTTTTTTTGGAAAGTCTTGATTATCCTGTATGGAAGATGAAATTCCTGTCCTTACGTTTAACCCATTGTTCCTATTTCGCTGCTTTCAGTTGTATTCATTTTAGAGGATTCTGTAAAACTGTCTCTGCTTCTCTTAAACTAACAAAACCCTTTGCCACAGCATCTACCATAGAGCTTTGATAAACCCTTTTCCATCCAGTTTTCTGCCCTGTAGTTTAAAACTGTGAGTCAGCATGAATTCACATGTCCCTACAGCTCTATTAAAGGATTACACTCAACCGCAGTCCTAGTTTGTCCTGAATGAGCATCTTTGTGTGAGCAAGGCAGAGATATGGCTTGTTTATAAGGAGGTCTGTTGAGACCGAGACATATGACTGGGTGCATGATTGTGTTTCTGTGCTCTGTGGCCTTAGGACTAACTTGTTACCGAACATTTTTAATGAGAGAATTATGGGGCATTATAAACAACACTATTTATCCTTGAATTTTAGAGGTCTGATAGATAATATTAGAAAAATCTCATACTCTTCTTAAGCTTAATCTATTTGATCAGAATTAGTTCACATAAAAAAGATAAAATGTCTAAGACATTATGACATGTTAACAATAAATTCTCTGAAATTAAATGACTTCACCCTTCTTCTTCATTGCCACCTTACTCCACCACACTCCTCACTCTCATTGGTAACTAACCTTCCTCTTCTTTCTCTTTCCCCTTCAGCTGACCAGCGCACTGATCAGCAAAATGAGCAGTGCAGGAATAGTGGAGAGTGGTAAACCTCCAAAGGTGGGTCAACTCTCAAGAAAAAAAAAAAAAGAAACATAAATAAAGAAATTACTTTTAACTAGAACATAACAACTCACTCTTCTTGTGTTTACCTTTTCCTAGATTGGCTCAACAGTAGAGGTGACAGGGAAGGGTCAGCGCGGCACTGTCGCCTACATCGGCGCCACCCTCTTTGCCTCTGGGAAATGGGTGGGTGTTATACTTGATGAGCCAAAAGGCAAGAATGATGGCACCGTGCAGGGGAAACGCTACTTCACCTGTGAGGAAAATCATGGGATATTTGTCAGACAGTCGCAGGTTAGTCAAATAAATATGTTTTGATGTAATGATGTAGTGTATGTTGTGCTCACAAGTGTTGTGATCATGTACACTGCAGTCTGCTTTCAACCATGTAATCACATGGATTGCTTCACATGCTTGGTTGAGAGTGGTTTGGCAGCATGGTTGTCATTGTTTTAACAGAGACGTAACTTTTAAAAATAAGGATTTGTCCAATACGACAGTTGATTAGAACATAAATTATTAAAACATACAGCAGGGCTCCAGAGTGGGACCAAATATTTGTGAAGTGTGACAAAAAATGTTCGTTGGTCACACTGGCCAAGATATATCGAGTGTGTCTCATAAAGTGTGAATACAGGATTACAACTGTGGGCCCATGCTATAAAACAATTAGTGCCGCTGCGTACCAATAAATTCCTGGATCTATAGGCAGTAATACTCGTAGTAGTGCAGTTTAAGTCATGATACCAATCCCTAATGCTAGTAGGGAGTGTCAGTAGTTTTATATTTCTGCAAAACATTTCTATTTCAGCATTTACTAATAAAAAATTAAAGGTTCTTGTTACTGCCTCTGCCCCTTGATGCTTGTATGTTGTTGTGATCACATTCTTGTGTGTGGGTGTGTGTGTACGTATAGCTTCAGGTGGTGGAAGAGGGCTCCAGTGCCACCTCACCAGATACTCCTGAGTTTGCTCTTGCCAAGATTCTCAGACAAAAAGGTAAGACAATAACACAGTTGCGTCTGAAATTCGTACTTAAAGTGGCACATCAAAGTGAATAATAATAACAGTAAATGATAATATGGATACTTAATGTTTCCTCCAGAAATTCCAGAGACTCCAAAAACATCCAAACAGGTAGGCAACAATCTGCTGCTTTTGTTTTTTATTTGTTATATAATTATCTTTTTTTGTTTTCATGACTCAGCTTTAGAATATTTAAAGGTAATACCTGCCCTGTCCAGAGCAGTTATACTGCTTTAAATGTACAGAACAAACTTAATTAAACCTATTAAAAGCAAATAAATAAATTTCAAAGAGGGGTGATATGACTATCAACCCTCTCTCTGACTTATGCAGTGTTTTCCTGACCAGAAATGCTTTGTGTTAGTTTTTTTTTTTTTTTTTTTCCTTTTAATTTAACTTTATAATTTATCTGTTGTACCCTTTTTATATACAGTCTATGGTTTTACCTCAGCTTTGGGTTGATGTCCCATTTGTGTTTTTCTGAATACTTTTCACAGACACCAATGAATGTTAAGAAGGTAGAAATATTTCAATCTAAAATATTTTCTTTGCTTTGGTTGTTGCTAATCATACTAATGTGCGGACTCACATTTTGCACGTCACTTATTGATCATTCATTTTCACAGTTTTCTCTTTTTGGTTTTGTGCACGAGACGTTTTTCGTTTTCTCACTTTTACTCATTTTATTCCGGTGAAATCATCCAGCATAAAAAACAAAAGAACAAAATTATGACCATGTTAAATTCATCATGATGGTGTCTTTGTCCACTTGGCCTCACAACAAATTGAAATTTTGTCACAGTTGTGACTTTGTTGCATGAATTCACACGTCTTGTTCCTTGATTCATGAAGAATAACTTCTTTGAAATATTGCATGCCGCCTTCAGACCTGTGCTCAGTGGATATAAACTAACAGATGTATGCTTATTATGTGCTGCTTATCTCTTATCTTGCGTCACCACTGGATGTGTGTGTATATCTGT